GAAATTAAATAAATCATTGATATTCAACACTCCCACATTGGTGGAGGCTGAAAAATCAAGGGTTCATTTCCCTATATATAGCAAGCTTGGGTATTTGGGAATAAATAACCTTGAGTGGAATTAAAAAGGCAACTCTAATTAAGAGTAAACCTTTGATTCGTATAACTCATAGTTATTTTGTCCAGGTCTTGACTAACCTTCAAGACTTAGGACGCTCGGGTCGGGTCGAGGGTATGATCCGTCGGAGATCTCGTGTTTTCGGGATTTTGAAGTAAGAGCTCTTTGGGAGCGAAGCACGCGACAAAGGTATAATTCTTGTTCTTAATCTGGTTTGATTAAGTTTAATATGCTTGTTAATTGTTTTAATTGAGGGGCGGGTCTTGGTGGGTTTCCTTCTGCGTAGTGTCGAATCACTACGAAACCCTACAGTGCCTTCAACCATTTCAACTTAGAAGTAATTGCCGACATTGAACGATACTCTGCCTCCGCAGAAGACTTAGTGGTAGTATGTTGTTTCCTTGTCTTCAAAAAAATCGGAGAACCACCAAGAAACACCAAACAACCAGAAATTGACCGTCTCCTCAAAGGAACAATAGCCCAATCCGAGTCACACCATCTTGTCAAATGTAGATCGCAATTTGAACTAAAAAGGATCCCTTGGCCTAGACAACATTTCAAGTAGCGTACCGTACGAAGAGCTACCTCCCAATGATCTTGAAGAGGTTGTTGCATAAATTGAGATACGATATGAAGTGTATAAGCCAAGTCAGGTCTAGTGGAAGACAAATAAATCAAACGACCCACAAGACGGCGATACATTTCAGGGTCATCAATAAGAGGTGTCTCCAATTTCGCTAGAGTATGATTTTGCTCAATCAGAGTACTAACCGGCCTTGCCCCTAACAAACCAAACTCTGCAATAATATCAAGGGTGTATTTCCGTTGACATAAAAATATGCATTCTAGACTTCGTCCAACCTCCATACAAGAAAATACTTCAAAACACCCAAATGTTTCATATGAAAACAGTCACTCAAGTATTATTCCTTGAAATAATCAAATCATCAACATACACAAGGACACTAAGATGAATCGCCCCATGATTCAGAGTGAATAGAGAATAATAAGAGTACGACTATATGAAACCGTACCTACACAATTTGGCAAACCAACAACGGGGTGCTTGTTGAAGGCTATACAAAGACTTCCGTAGGCGACATACCATGCCAGGTTGAGAACCATGGAAACCAGGAGGAGGCTTCATATAGACTTCCGCATCTAGATAACATGAAGAAAGGCATTATGAACATCCATTTGATGCAATTCCTAATTCTTTACAACAACAACAGCTAAGAAAGCATGAACGATGACCATTTTAGCTATGGCAGCAAATGTCTCATTATAATCGACACCCTCAACCTGATGGTTGCCAAATAACAAGGCGAGCTTTCAATCATTCAATTGTGCCATCTGAATTATGTTTCACCTTGTAAACTTATCTGCACTCGAGAGCCTTTTTCCCCAGAGGTAATTCTTCCATTAACCAAGTTTTATTATCTTCCAAGGCAGAGATTTCTTTTTCTTAGCCTTTCTACACCCCTCATCTTTCATTGCCTCTTTGAAATTACATGCCTCAATTGCCGTATCTATAGCTACAATAAACACAAGGTGTCACATAGAAAATTTATCACAAATCACAAAGTGTGCTAAGGGTAAGGAGTACTTGAGAAGTTTTGAGTAGACGGTGAACCTGTAGAGATAGAACGACACGGAAGAGAAATAGTATGTGCGACATAATCATGATGCCAACCCGAAGGATGTCGTTGGCGTTGACTACGTTGCATATTAAGAGAAGAGGAAGAATAAAAGCTTGTATAAACCACATGGCTGTTGTACGAGGTGGTGGCAGAAGCAGATGACATAGCAGTAGTAGAGGTAGATGTAGCGGTAGTAGCGGTAGCAGCTGCAGTAGTAGTAGGCGGAGAAGTGGCAACAGTAGAGGTAGCAGAAGTAGCATAAATAAGTGAAACAAGGGTGTTGCCACCATGGTTATCCGGCGAACCAGGCTCAAGAAAGGCCTCACCAACCTCTAAAACAAGCTAGAAATCATCTAAAAAATCAGTATCAACCCCATTATTCTCATGAGACACTTCGTCGTTTCCCACATGAGAATTATCCGAATCACCATTAATCTCAAACGGAAACTCATTCTCATAAAACTTAACATCACGTGAGACAAAGATTTCACCCATTTCTAAATTATTCAACTTCCAACCCTTCTTGCCATGAGAGTATCACACAAACACACACTTCCTACTCCTAAGTGAAAACTTATCACCCTTAGCCTTTTGATTATGAGCAAAATAAAGACAACCAAAAACTCGTATTTCATCAAAAGTAGGTTTTTTGCCAAATAAGACCTTAGATGGTGTTGTATTGTCTAGTAAACGAGAAGGGGTACGATTAATCAAATATGACACCCCAAGAACACATTCACCCCACAAATCGATCGACATATTGCCTTGAAACATTAGTGCACGACTCGCATTCAATATATGTTGGTATTTACGCTCAATCTGGCCATTTTGTTGTGAAGTACCAATACAAGAAGTTTGAAATAAAATGCCATGTCCATTAAACTAGGGATGCATTTGTTTAGATTATGTACAATTGTCACTCCAGGTACGTTTCACAAACACACCAAATTAAGTTTTAATCATAGAAAAGAATGAGCGAAAAGAAGAACATACATCGGTTTTGTCATTCAACAAATATACCCAAACACCCCTTGAAAAATCATCAACAAGAGTTGGAAAATAGTGTGCACCACATGTACAAGAAGTTTTATACGAGCCCCATGGATCACAATGTATCATTTCAAAAATGCGTCTAGAAACACTATCACTTATAGGAAAGCTATCTCAAGTTTGTGTAGCTTGAGGACAGATTTGACATGCCTTATGTAAATATTTACTACTAGAACTACCTCTAATAGCAAGGAGTAACTTGACAATTCTTTCCGACGGATGCCCCAAACGTCGATGCCGTAACTTTTGGGATAAGCTAAAAATAGTAGAGTCCATCTATTCATTCACCGCCTCCAATTAGGCTCCCCGAATTTTGATCATATATAGCACATAAAGAATTAGTGAATCGTACATAACAGTGACAGTCATCAATTAATTTAGACACCGATATCAAATTGCAATTTAATTTAGGAACAAATAAGACATGTTCAAAAATAATAATTCCATCTGCCAAAAAACCACGTCCCTCTTTTGTAGCAATGGCTTGAGCACCATTGGGAAGACTAACATGGCATGGCAGAATGGATTGAATATCCAGTAGAGAGGACTCGTCACCCGTTACATGATGAGAGGCACCTTTGTCGATTATCCGAGAAAAAGAAAAATAATCCGGTGAACAATTGGTAGTGAAAGTAGTGTAGGTTGCTGCCTTCGCGTGAGCATATAGAGACGCATCAGAGGCGGCGGTAGAAGACGCAGGGGACGAGGCAACAATAGCCTGATTCGTGCAAGAGGTTCTCCCTTGGTTGCCCTATTTTTTAAGCCACCAATCAGGGTAGCCATGGACAAAAAAACAAGCAGCATAGTCGTGACCCAAACGATGACAGTGGGTACAATATATATTCAACTTATCATGTCGTTTTAATAGAGAATTATCATATTTAGCTTCAAAGTACTTTGTTGATTGTAGAAAGGAGAAGAAGAACCAATCTTGCCCATTGTTGATCAAGCAGTAGAGTGTTAGAAAAGAGAAAAACAAATCGATATTTTTTTTTAAGGTTTAGAAATTTTGAGGCTCCAATACCATGTAAGGAATTGATTTTCCTTGGTTGTATTATTGTATGAACAAGTATATATATATAACTTAACAAGAGATTACAGTCGGTTACATAGGCCCATTAGCTATAAAATATTACGCTTAACATAATTGCAAAAATAAAAAAAACAATTATATCATACTAAAGAAAATCGTGGGTGTATTACATGCACGACTAATAAAATAATCACGTCATAAAGTTATATGTAGGAAAATATTATTGCATAGTATTAAATAAACAAATACTACGTAATATTTTGTTGGATGATTCTAAATGGAATATAATTACCAAATAGTAGGGGAAATATTATAACATAGTATTAAATATTCTATAAGAAGTTTTGGTAAAAAAAATAAAATTAAAAAAAAAATAAAATTATCAAATAAAATAAAATTATTTTGGCACGAAATTATTTAAATAGGAGATAACACATGTTATTCACCCTTATTATAATATATAGTTGTAGTTATAGATTTACTTGTTAAAGTCAATTTGATGCAAAATAACGTAATTTTTTTTATTTATTTAATTTTGCAATATAAATTAAATCCATGTGATTTTAATATATCAGAAAAATAACTGCAAATAATATTAATATTAGTAATAAGAATCCTTAATTATTTGAATTATAACTCAAATATATACAGAATATAATTTTATTGACTTGAATAAGTTGTTAATCAATATGATATATGAAGAAAATTAAAGTTAGAATATATATATTTTTGGAAAATGGTTTTTGGAGGGAAAAAACGACACCAAGAAGTAACATTTGTCATTTTCGATGTCTGTTATAGTATTATGTTACTGATTGATGATTATTATACCTGTGTGTCAAATATTTCTAAAATATTGACCCAAACATAGTTAAGCATAACAATTTTTATTTGTGAAATAGAGGACTTATAGTTTTGAAACTGCTTTGGCTAATTTAGCTGTAGGGACTGCTTAATCATCTTGGATTACTGCATGGTAATTTAAAAATGAAGGAGACATATCTCTCCCACAATAATGACTTTTACTATATTACAGTATTTCCATGATTAAACGGATCATATACATCAGATCATATGATCGAATTAAATATATATATATCCTTTTCTTTGAAACAGGATAATAAAAATCAAAATTAATGAGATATAATATGCTTCAACATTGTGCCATTTCATTTACAGATATCTGATTAAGGACTACATAGATTAATTTACATACTTGCAAATGAAACAAATGAATTGTCAATTAATTTTTAATATCACATTCTTCTTTTTTGAATTTTTTTTTTGGGTTATTTCTTTTCTCATTTTCACCTACCATTTATTTGACCTTTTATCTATTACCAAAATGGTATAAAAAATTGAATGTATAGCAGATTCAAAGGCCAAGAAAAGGAGGCATCCTTCCATAAGCTCCAACGTCGAGTCCATTGTAGGCGAGGGGGGCATACATCCATAAATCATCCGAGCTCAGCAGCTGCACAAATTAAGAAGTGTTAGTCGATCATTGTTTGACAAACTTGTTAGTTGTAACACGCTTGTATATATCAAGAAGTATATAATTAATAAACAAATGTATTCACGTACCCGGATTTGTAGCTGCAAAAACTTTATATAATGAAATGCCTCTTCTAGCATTGTACTAATATCCACCTGCCAACAATGTACATGAATAATATCATCAGCACAATCTCTTGATTATTTTTAGTTATTTAATCATGTTAGTGAAATCAGTTAGGTGCATTAACACAAACCTTGGTTCCATTAGGCACGAGGTTCTGCAAGATTCTTAATCTCTCGTTGATTCTCATTCTCCTTTTCTGTAACATTATATCAAAATTAACATTAGCGTAACAGGAAGTTCAGAGAAACAGATGATTTTGTTTAAGGACGCCGGTTTTATGAAATTTACCCTTGCATAGAGGCTCTGGGGATCAGTTGCAGCACCCCTGCTGGCTCTTTTCTTACCAGTCGAGGTAGTAGACTCGGTAATATTAGAAGTTGAATCTTCTGTTTCATTGATCTCTTCTGACAAACAGGGGTTAGAGTCAAATGCGTTTGAATTTGCTATTTCATTGTTCTCCTTGGTATATACTGTTGGAGTCGCGTGCTCATCAGTTTTTTGGGTTGTTTTTCTCATGGCCTTCTGAGTCTGAACAATTAACAAACATAAGGAAACCGTCTCAATAACATTGCATAAACTATTATCAACCATACCATTTTCTAAACTTTATGCGAGTAGTACTTACAGTTTTGGAAATTCGAGCGTTCTTTTTGGGTGTTTCCATTAAGCTCGACCTTTCATCTTTATCATCGTCTGGAGCCATTGGCACCTCACGCTTTCTCTTAAGGGTCAGCTCAGTGTTGGGTGATGACATATCAACAAAAGTATTAATATTCACAACGTTGTCAAACGTTGAGGTGTCAGTTAGAGTATCATTAGGAAACAATAAGCCTAACGAGGCATCAATTTCCCCGTTCACCATTGAGAAATCAATGCAGGATAAAATGTCAGTAGATACTCGCAAATCATCAACACAATGAGCACTATTATTAGTATGACTCTTTCTTTCTAAAAAATTGTGTGGAGGTTTAGAAATCCAACCACATAACGAAGACAACGAATTCATATCAACATGAGGAAAAGCTTTTTTTTCAGCATGAGGATTACTTGATAGTACAGCATAAGCCAGACTATCATTGTCGTGCTTACTTTCAGGTGAAAAGTAATCAAGAAAATCAGCAGCGAGATCAGGGAACTCATCTACTGTAAAAAGTTTGCAAATCGATTCCCACTCTCCATCAAGGAACATCCCCATAGATTATAGATTTCTCGCCTTTTCCTTATGCAATGCAAAAACGAAAAGGCCGAAGATCAAGAATAGAGAAGTTGAAAGAAAGCAAGGGAGAGAAGAGGAGAGGATTATTCAATTGGAGTAGAAGAATGTAAGGATTGAACTCATTGCATAACGACGAAAGATGACTTTATGGATATATTTATACTAAATGATGCATGTATAATAGAATGTTATAGAGATTGAGTTCATTACTTTAATTGATCTTGAAATTCCAATGATTGATCTGAACAGGGTCTTTGTTCTTTGTAACTAATCTCTTGTACTACAAATGTGGGGCCAAACAACTGGCATATTACAACTCAGATATCATGCAACATTTTACAGGCCAGTAAAGATAGACAACTAACTTAATCCTTCTAAGGATGTAGAATCATGAACCAAGTATAACTAATTAATTAATTAATTAATCATGGATTAAACTATATAATATAATGTTATTGTTGTATAGTTTAGGTAGTCGTACTGTGATGAGTTTAACGAAGTTAGTAATATAAAATTTTCTATTATTGTACAATTGAGAGAACGTGGGAAGTCTACTTGCATATATTTAAGATTCAGAAAATTCTGTTACCTGGATTAGAGCTAAACAAAGTAAAGGACAACCAAGTGAAGAGAACTAAACTAGGCTAAGTACCAATGGATTTAACTGATTTAAGACAAAACCGAATCATATAATTTGATCTGCTCTTTGGTTGGACAACATTCTAAATATATTTATATATTTTTCTCGTTATTCTTGAATTGTCTTATACTATTTACAACTTGGCTGACCTTTTTGTTCAGGGGTGACCAATCTGAGCATGGTCTTAACGTTACATGCGTTGATCCACTACCCAAATTGTACATTAGAAATATGAGAAGTTATTATTTAGAATATTGATTAGAAGTTGAGGATTAAGTATTGTATTGAAAAGAATTATGCACAATTATTTTGGGATTCGATGTAAATTACATTCCACATTGATAATGTCTTGTTTTTCTTTTTCATTTGGGAAATTTGCAGTGAATAATACAACTTTTCAGCCATCTTCCATAAATAGAATAACCTTTCGTTTATTCTTTCACATGCTTCTTCTATAAATGAAACGTGACCTGTTGGTAACCTCAGTGATATGTGTCACAATATCATTGGCTTTTTTTTTTTATAAATTTGATTTTAAAAATGTAAAAAATAATAATAATAATAAAAAAACCTTAAAATTTAAAACAAATTTTTTAAAAAAAAAACTAAACCCCTACATAGCCACCTCCCCCTTTTACCGGAAACCACCACCCGTTGTTTCCGCCTGTAACACCCCCAAATCTACTTCTACATAAATACTAGTAAATTATGTCTAATTTGAAAGGAATGGTGTCTTTCAAACAAGTGTATTACTCCGATAGAAAGTATGGAATTAATTTGGAAAGCTAATTATTCAGTGAGATCAAGTGACTAGAATGTCTAGTTGGAGGCCGCTTCCGAATAGTAATATTAATGTATAATTAATATTACAGCTTAATCTTGACAGACCCCTTTGGGTTACACCCAATCGTGTAACCGAACTGAGGCGACGAATTAATCCGATGGATTAAATAAGTCAATAGGGATTTTACGAACTAAGACGTAGGATTCCGAGCTAAGAGCATCGAAGCCGAACGTCAAGTGTCGAGTCTTTTGAATGAATCGATGAGATGGAAAAATAGTCAAGCAACACGATTTAAAGCCAAAACCCCAAAGTCGTAGCATCGCATTGTCCTAGCCTCGTGCTAGTCATGTGTGGGCTAGGCCATGGGGTGCTAGCCGCAAAATGCTATATGGCTGCTAGGCCGTGCCACCATGAGCTGCATGGCAACCAGCTAACCAGGCCATGCGCACTAGCGAGCCTAGCAGGCCGGGGCTGCTAACGCACCAAGCCCGCATGGCTGTTGGGCGTGTGGTGGCTAGCAGCTGCCCATTGGCTAGCACATGGGCCGCGGCGGCATGGTAAGTGGTCCTTACCTAACCTCCTTAATATTGTTACAAGTGTTGTTTGCTTATTGCTTTTGATATTTAATATAATTTGGAATTAAATTAAATCATTCATTTTGCCTTTTTACCAACTATCCCACATTGAAAGATGATAGAAATTCTTGGGGACATTTCCCTATAAATACCCATCGTTCGGTGTTGGGAATTTCACTTGAATTAGTGAACTCTAAGGATCTTCAAAAGCGAGAAAACCTTTGTTCGTAAACTCTAAGTTATTTTTGGTCTATCCCCGTCTAAGCTACGGGGTAGGGACCGGTTCTGGTTTGGTAGCGAGGGTGTGAGTCGTCAAAGGTTCTCACACTAGCGGAACTTGAATCTTTTAAGTCTGAGCTCATTTAGTTGAGCGAAGCACACTTGTAGGTTGAGTATTTTTTCTCTCTGTTATCTTATGTTTGTGTTTATTTGCATGCTTTTGTTTATGTTGTAATTATTATGCATGTGATCCGGTTAACAGGTTTTGTTTCCGCTTGGTGTCGGATAACGCAAAAACCCAACAACGGTATAAAAGCCTCTTGCATTTAATTTTTACTACTAAAAATTAATTAAGGTGATTTAAAATGGATTTAAATTTTTTGTTTAGCATCTTAATTAGATTCGGAGCTCGGTTTTAATTGGATTAAAATCGTATTTATGCTGATTTTGGATTACGAACTCCGATTTTGACTAAGAAATAGAGAATTTTGGGTGCAATAGACGTTCTAAATCAGACTTTATCCACTTTGTATTTAAAAATGGCCTTCATAAGCCAAAATATTCCAAAAAGTGGTTTTTTGAGGGGGTTTTCGTTTTCGACGAAATTTTTTAAATCTTTATTAATTATGGCATGTAATTGTTGGATTATGTGTTTGATTGTACCATTAATATTCTGCAATTTTAGCTTTTATTAAGCATGTTTATAAAGTCATAATTGTTGCTTAATTTGGTTAGCTTTTATTTTCACATAAACTTGCAATTTCACATTTTTGCAAATTAATTGCTTGGAGTGTGAATGTTTACAGTTAATATGTATTTTTTAAGCCCCTAGAGTCTTAAAGATTCAATATTTAATTTTTTATTTGGTTGGATCTTAACTTTCTAAAAACCATAGTGAACTACTTTTTGTTTTAATCATTTTAAGTTGATTAAAATCTTAAATGTTCATACATGTGCTTGAAATATTATTGTTCTTCATATTGCAATATTAAAATATTCAAATGTGCACAAGATTAAGTGTTGGATAAATTATTTCATTCGATGAATGATTATTTATTCAACTACTTTTGTCAAATTTCATTATTAATTTATGTTGGTTAAATTAATTGTGATAATAGCCCTCAATTTTTGTAGCATCAAGTTGAGCCAAAAATAATTTAAAGAATGATTCTTGAATTAATTTTGGATTGTGCACTAAAATTGAATTTACTTAAGTTAGACTTGTTTTATTTTCATTATTGGTCAATATTGGCTCTAAAATCAATTTAGAATAATTTTTTTTTATCACACACAAAATCTGAATAAAATTTTGAGGCTTAAGCACGTAAAACAAGGCAGTAAGCCTCGAGCACCACCCTCGGCTAACTGAGTTGCTTGTGCAGCCTACATGTGGCTACCTAAGAAATGCACCGTGCTGGTGCATGAGTGTGTTTGAGTAGCACCACTTTGTGCATCAGTGCGTGCGTGTGGTGCAATTTTGCAACTGCTAGGCAGCGCCCGCTCGCACAGTAAGGCTATGGCTAGCACCAGCATGGGCGCTAGCATGCTGCTATGCATGTGCGAGCAGCACCCACGCATGGCAGCGTGGCCTTGGTGCCTAGTAAGCCGAGCCTCGTGGGTTAGATGCTAGACACTCGGCCGATGAGGGGCTACTATTTTGGTGTTTTTTTTATATTTTTTTTTTTGCGGCCTAGTTTTAATTAAACGAGGCTGACCTCGGTTTTTCCCGGCACTTGCAAAATAATTTTGCAAATTTTGGGTTAACCAGCTTAACTAATTTTAATTAAGTTGGGTGGGAGCTTCATTAATTGTTTGAGCTATTATTATTGCGTTAATTCACATAATCAGATAACAACATTGAATAGTTTTAATTAGGCGCGTTAATCTGATTAACCACCCAAATTAGTTAATAGTTTGCGCATGTTTTGTATTATTGTTTGTTTTATTTTGTAAAATGCTTAGGCCATTCACTTTTGAAATGAATCAATGAATGGAATAGATATTCTAATGCAGGTTTACAAAATGGCAACTAATGGGGCCCGACTAGGATAGTAAATACGAACTGTGTTCCGTTATGTATTTTTGTAAATCTAAATACGGACTGCATGCCATTGAGTATTTTTGTACCTTAATATTTAGATTAGTCCTAACTATTCTAGTAGTTATATAATTGGTGGTGATGTCTCGAAGACGGCGTTTCTAAGAAGCCGAAGCCAAGAAGATGAAATGAAGGCCCTTGAAGATTTAAAGATTCAAGTTTCAAGGGGTCATGCTAGTTTGCCAAATGCATTTTTATTTATGGCTTATATATATTTTTCTTATATATAATTGAAATATTAGATGCATGTTTAGGATTTTGAATGTTGAATGATTAATTTAGTTCACTTACATCAACCAACATAGAAACCCTATGTCCCGAAGAATATTAAGTCAAATCTACCACTCGAAAATGACACTTATGGAACTAATGAGAATAGTAATGATCTATGTCAAAGCAAGGCATTACTACTTTCCTAGGGAAGTAAGGTATGTTGATGGGCTTGCGAAAGGAAGGCACCATATACACGTTAGTTTTTGTTAAACTCAACGATATCAATAACGAGTCATGAGATGTCGTGGCAAAGGAGATAATCGTCTAGGAAGCATTGGATGCGATGATTTATTAAACCAAGAATAGCTTAGAGCTATTAGCAATTAGATTGCTTACCTTCAAATATTAAGTGTTAATACAAGCCAAAGTATGCTTAATCACTTATTGATTTCTGGGATCTTGGAATCGTTTTATTCTCGCCTAATTGGAACAAATTTATAAATGTGTGAATAGACCGTAAATAAGTTAATTGAAATTGCTTGTTTGCATGTATTTCAATGCTTATTATGTTATATTGATAAATGGTTATACTTT